TCCTAATTGTTACTGAGAAAAGGAAAACCTAATTATTAGTAAGCTTCACAGTTGCATAAAGTATTGTTTTTTATTGCTCAGGAAAATAACAACTGTGCTTAATTCCTTGACCAGAAGGAAATTTCTTCTGTGAGCTCACTCACTGGGAGAATACTGTGCAATGTAATACAAGCAACAATATTCTTAGTGCATATAGTAATGCATTTCCTAAGAATGTTCTTTTCGGAAGGCCATCAGTATTAGCCTATGATGGCAAACCAAGAGGAACTGAATACACGCAACTGTCAGCCAGAGATTGGGTTGAAAATGCAATAGAGTATTTTATGGCTTTCGGAGGTTGATATATGATATTTGTTGTGATTTAATATCATTAAATACTAGTAGTATATAGACAAATAGTTATTAAAATGCTTAACACACAAAAAAAGAACAAAAGCAAGCCTTTGATAGTATTTTCATTAAATAAAGTACCCCAATCATTAACTTGCATTTTAAAAAAGTTTTCATGAAATGTATTCCTCACATTTCTCTTAGATAAAATATAAATTAGATCTGGGCACAAGATCCAAAGAAGTATTTGGCTTAAATAATATGAGTGTATGCAAAAGCCTATGTTGTTCAGCACTACTTACAAGTCCTCCCTAAAGATGTTATAGTGCAGTGTGTTAAATGCTTCAAGAGCAGCCAACATGGGGTCCTATGAAAATGCCTGGGAGGAGCAAACTTGAAGACTCATGAAGATATCTCAGAGAGGGTCACCTTGGAGACGCATAGGTGGAGTTGAAATGCTGGCCAGACACAGATGGGGGGAAAGAGGATGCCAAGCAGAGGATAAAGTATGTGCAAAAACTAGAGGGTAGGAAGGTCATAGAGCATTTAAGTAATTTGCTATCACTGAAGAATATTCATGGGGGATTTAGGAATGACAAGAGAGACTGGAGGGAAAGGAGTGGTCTAGATCATAAAGTGCCTTGTATTTCACAATAAGAACTCTTCTACTTTTTCCCAAGAATAATGAGGAGCCATTGAGAAGTGTTGAGCAAGGAAGAGATAGTATCATAGTGGAGTTTTAGAATGGTTTCTCTGGTGGCAATGTAAAGAATGGCCCAGAAATGGGGAAGAATAGCAACAGAAAGATAAGTCAGGATCCTTTAATAAACTGTCAGAGTTAATAGGAATGAACACATTTAAGAGGTATGTAGGAGGTATAATTGAGAGAACTTGAGTGATTAGAAGGGGTTGGGGATGGGAAGGAGGTGGCAAAAATGACATTCAGTTTTCTGATTTGAGCAGCTGGGGAGAAGGTGCTGCCACGTCTGCCCAACAACAATAACAAAAATATGAGAGATTTAGCAAAAGAAAGAAAACTTCAGTTTGTGGCATACTGACTGGGAGATGTCCAAATAAAAATGTTTAGAAAAGAATTTTGATATATAGCCCTAGCCCTCAAGAAGAGCTTTAGAATTGAGATTGAGATTTGGGTGTCACTATGGTATAGATGATGACTGAGAAAATTCTGATTTAAAATGGCAAACACACTATTCCTCCTGACATCTGAATGGAAATTACAATGTAAAATTTGAAGACAGAAATCCACCTGCAACAATGAAGAGAAAGGTAAGAAGGATTACCCAGCAGATAAGATATTTTAGCATGAAAGAAAGCTTTTGGAAGTGTACTAATGGATGAACTAACTAAAGGAAAGAAGGCTGTGGCTAATGAGGGGATGCAGAACCCCGGGAGCGGTGGATAATAATATGCTCAGAGTGACTGGGCTTTAAGTTCTCAATTATAATGGAAGTTGGGAGACATAAGAAATCAAAAATGGGATGGTGTGGTAATTTTAAGTGGGGCAATGAAGAGTATGTCCTCACAAACATTTTCTTTGTCATCCCTAACAGACTTTCTTTTAAAGCTAACAACAGAAAAGAGAAAGTATAACAAAAACATCCCATAATTATCATTGTAATAATGTCAACGTGAAGGAAGGTAAAGACCAGTGGCTATAAGTCAATGTCAAAGTTCTTTCCTTGTAAGAGAAAAGAAATAATTAAAATCAGAAATAAAAACAAGACAGGAGAAAAACAGAAAAAGCAAAAACAATTTTTAAATAACAACTAAGCAAAGAGAAATAAGCTCAAGTACATCAGTAATCACAATAAACAGAAATGGCCTAAGTCCCTAGAAACTGGGAGGTACTGGGTAGATATAAGCTTTGTTTGAATACCATTCTGTAAGAAATAGGAGATGCTTACCTTGTTTGTCCACAATGGGTACAAAATCTTCACTGAAATTGTCTGGACCATAAATCCACTTTTGGATCTGTCATTTAACTTTAAAAGAAGGCAACAGTAGGATTTCTATTGAACGAAAATATATTTCATTTTCTTCAACAACCATATAAAGCAAACTAAATTGCATTCAGTGAATTCTGAGTTTTCTCTCACTGAGAACTGATAAAAGCATTGATAGGTGTGACAATGACAATTATCTACTCTTTTCTGTTCAAGGTCAGGTTATCTATTCTTTCACCATCCATTTTCTTCTGAATTTCTCCTTTGTAATCCATACCATTCCAACACTATGCCAGATCATTTAATACTAATCGTTTACAATTCAGGTTTTAAATGACAGCAATCCTATTCACTGAACGCTAAGTATTATTTCCTGTAGTAATATTGGCATAATGCTTGATACAATTACAGTATAGGAATTCATCCTTTTATTTGAATAGCCCCACATTTTCTGTCTGCCTTGGACTACTCTTTCGGCTGTCTGCAATTTATTCTTGGGTTTCTGTCCTTTGGTCTAATGATAACTTCTAGATTGTATTAAGTGTAAAGTCTTTTCCCCATGGACAGATTCCTGGAAATCCTATCAGATCCTCTAGCTACAGTAGCCCAATGTTTAACTGTTTACTCCATTCCTACTATAATGTATATTTCATATGAACACTAAATTAATGCTGAGGAATCAAAGATAAACAAACAAAAATGATTAAGAGGACATCTTTTAAAGGTGATAAAAGAGCTCCTTGGTACAAGATCAATGATATGAAATATACAAATACATTTTTACCACACTCTGAATGACCTTACATGAGAAAAAACAGCTAATTATTCAACCAAAAAATGTTTTGAATGTCAGTTGTACTGGATTTTTTCTTTTTAAAGATTTTATTTATTCATTTGAGACACAGAGAAACAGAGAGAGAGAGAGAGCGCATGAACAGGGGGAGAGGGAGAAGCAGGCTCCCCACTGAGCCAGGAGCCCAACGTGGGGTTCGATCCCAGCACCCTGGGATCATGACCTGAGCCGAAGGCAGACGCTTAACCATCTGAGCCACCCAGGCGCCCCATGGATTTCTGAATGTAAGTTTTACTAGGTAAGAACTTGTTCTGAGTTTATGATGTAAGTATACAACTGGAAACACTGAACATTGTCATAGCAATCATCTTAAGTTTCTCTCATTTAAATTTCTGCTTGAGAATTCTACTTTTAAATGTGAAAACCCAATTCATATGCTCAGGGGATAAGTATTCCAACACCTGGCTCGATCCCAGGACCCCGAGATCATGACAGAACCAAAGTCAGACACGCTTAACCAACTGAGCCCCCCAGGCGCACCCCCACCTTTTTTTAAAGATTTTACTTATTTACAGCTGCTCCTTTTTCCTGCTGTAATCTAATCCCAAAGGGAAGTCAGTGGCTACAGAGCATGCCCCTGTCTCTTGGGAACGTAACCTTGACTCACCCTGTTCCTACGGTCACACCTTCCTTCTCGATCTCCCAAGACTGTCTTTGTGAAAGGGAACCCCTGCCTTTTCTCCCTTTAGAAATTTCACTGCCCTTTGCTTTTTCTCATTTTAGACATTTTTTCTCCACTTACTCCAATTTCCATTAATCCTTGCACCAATTCTTCCCCACTCCCAGTACTGGCTGTTCTCGCTTATGAATTGTGCTGGGACCCCTCAGTAAATCTGAATAAATCCCCTGACCTGTCTTCCTCACTTCTCCTTTCCCTCTGGGCCTCAAGTAAAACTCTTGCTACAGGGATTGTTGTTTGGTGTCTCTGGGGCTCAGTTTGCTCCCTGTACAATAAAGGAATTAACCAGGTTATCTGCAAAGATCCTCAGTTGTAACTTTTGAACACACTGACTCGGTGTTTTTCCTGTGTGACAAGTTCTTCCTTCCATCTAACTCGTCTTCAGAGCCTGCCTTTCATTACTCTCTTATTACCAAGGTCCCAAGCACATTTTCTCATTTTTTTTTTAAGATTTTATTTATTCATTTGAGACAGAGAGACAGAGAGAGCACAAGCAGAGGAGAGGCAGAGGGAGAGGGAGAAGCAGACTCTCCACTGAGCCGGGAGCCCGACTCGGGGCTCAATCCCCGGACCCTGATATCAGGACCCGAGCCAAAGGCAGATGCTTAACCATCTGAGCCACCCAGGTGCCCCTCATCATTATTTCTTAGGCAAAGCCAAATGGCTTTCACCCACACCTTAAGTTGATCAAAAGAATGTGTTTATTTTTCTAGATATTTCCTAACGTTGCACACAAAATATTTGAGGGGCCATGATTCAAGTTTAAAGAAACAAACTTATTTGAACATTTCTTATCCATGAGTGAGATTTCATGATTTCCTTTAAGAAATCTATGACCGGAAAGTTTTGTTAATGCCAGTGACAAGCAGCTAATGGCATCATTTCTGCTTTGATTTTCTGTGACACACTTTTGAGGTTTTCATCCTCACTTCTTTGCGGGGGCCCTCACCTTTGTCTTCCTTTTGCCCTGTAACTGCCATTTTTCATCAGCGATTAAGAAAATAAGAGCACAAGGAAAAACAATTTAGCTCAGCTGACTGTTTTTTCAAGGAAATTTTTTAGATTTCAGACTAATAAAAAAAGTTTTAATCCTATAATCAGAGGTCATTTTTAATGCTTTTATTCAGCAAAATTCCAGGTAATTTTGAAATACAATGGCCATCCATTTATTGAGGACAAGAGAGGTTATTCCAAAACATTCTTTAATAGCCCTAAACTGATTTTTCCTATCAGAAGAAAAAGGAAAATCCACCCGGAAAGGTCTTTCTATAGTGGAGGTTACATAGCTGAACTTCTTAGGCATTAAACTAATTCACACACACACACACACACACACACACACACACACACATAATTGGTTAGAAATATTCCATTTCAGGATTAAGTTTTACACAACACATTATGACCATAAATGGGTTACTTGGATATAATAGTTATCTCTACTTATTTTTAGCAAGGGAGCTAGATTTCATAATATTCAAACCTGGCTTATAAATTTAACTTGGTAAACTTGCAGGAGAAATGCGAGCTGTTTAGCATTCTCTGATAAATCAAAAGCCATCCCCCCGAGTCCCACAGTACAGACATGTCTGCCTCCTCTAAACTCCAGTGGAACTTAACTTGTGTCATCCTTATCCGCCATACTTCCTAATTCACAGTCTCTTGTATCTATCAATAAATAATTACGAAGAAAAAAAGGAGCAGAAAAATAAGCAGGCATTGCAGTTTAATCGAAAAAGCAGGGGTGTTGAATTAGACAAACCTAGCTTTGTATCTCATTTCATCTATTTCTTCACCGTGTGATCCTGGGCAGTCGACTGAACTATCTGAGCCTTCGTTTTCTCAGCTATATATCAGAGGTAATGAACTGCCCTCGTAGGGTACTGTGAAGGTTCAATTAAAGTTGAAAAGCACCTGGCACATACAAGGCACTTCTCCGATAAAAGGTACTTCTCCTTCCCCTATTCTGGTATATCATGCATAGATCAATCCTGTGGCATGGCTGATTGAACACCGAGCTGTTTCTGGGCTTGTGAGCTTTTTGAAGGCAGAGTCTTGTTCATCTTTGTATTTCCTATGGAACCTAGGGTAGTGAGCTACATATTCTGGAGGCGCAATAACTGTGTACTGTTTTAAACTGAGGGCTGAAACAGGACCACTCCTAAGCTGTGTAACAATTATCTACGGATTGGGGCTCTTCTGGTACGGTGAGCTATGGCTCAGGCCTCTTGGGGGTGAGACAGCCCACCGTGTTTTAAATTAGGTTGCACAAAATAGAGCTACTTTCCTAAATTCCTTGGCAACTAATCAGAAGGCTATTCCATTTCTCACTGTAGAAACTGTTGCAAAAAAATTGACCTTACTCTGAGAGAGAGAAACAGAATCCACTACACTGTGCTAGAAAATCAACAAGTTGTGTTGAAAGCACTGAGTCACATAAGCGTGGGTTTTAAACACCAGCTGGTCCCTGACTAGCCATGAGACCTTGGGCAAGCTGTCTATGCTTGTTGAGCCTCAATTAAACCAAAGGAAGAGACAATAACTCCACTGTGGTTGTCACACAGGGTTGTGGGTACAGAAGGTCATGCCCTGGAACCAACTGAAACACTGGGGAAGCAGGATGCCAACACCAAGTCTAGAAAGCCATCACTTCTCAGTCATGGGAGCTCCTCCTCTGGCATGGTCCACGCTTCTACCCATATTCCCTTCTTTGGCAACTGGCCAGCTCTCCTTGTATCATTTCAGTTCAATTGAGCAGAAAAGCTGTGCATGTGTGTGTGCACGCATCAACACGCGAGTGGTCACATCTACGGATCCAACTTTTGTTCCACAGGTCACATTACGATGCCACGAGAAGGTGCGGTCGTTAAGCCGCGATAAAGCAAATGCACACTTTCCTTTTCCATCCGATGCTAGAACGCTGCACAGTCCAATTTGCTTGTGGCTTTTTCTCACGTGTCAGTCTGTCACAGCTTCCTCTGTAAAAATACTTCAAAGAAAATACAACTCAACCAAAGCATTAACAGAAAGTCAGCCCCAGACGAAAGGGGGCAGGCTGCAGGCAAAGCCAAGTGACCGGTCTTTTCAGTTCTGGTGGAATCTTTGTTTCTAGGTCATTCTACTAACATCACCTAAGGAAACTGGATTCCTAAGGAAATTGGGAGGTTGGGGAGGCAGATGGGCCACCTACACACCACATATGGAAGAACGAACCTTCCCAAATTTCTGAAAAAAGTCTTCTTCTGCCCGGGCCAAGGCGTCTTCGTCAATGTACACAGCTGGCCTTCTGGCCATGAGGAAGTACTGCACCTTCCTCAGATTCCAGCCCATCACGTACTGGAGCCAGCCGCAGACGGCCGCAGTGGACCTGCCGACCCCGGCGTTGCAGTGAACGTACACGGTGTGTCCATTCTCGAGCAGCGCATGCAGGAGACAGACCGCCTGGGGCAGCATCTGCACTCGGCCTGGGATTGAGAAAGCACAGACACATGAATAGTGAAAGCCCAATATCGCACCCAGGACAACTCCTCAGTGCCCGATGAGGTCAGCGCAGCAGGGGGAGCAGGGATAGGAGAGCTTGCTCCATTCCTTTGTTTTGACGGAAAAGGTGAGACAATAATAAAGTAGAAAGAACACTCCACAGGCAGTGGGTCAGCTCTGAACCTTCCCTGGCTTTTGCTTTGAGGGACTTCTGCATCAGGGCACATTTCCTTTCAAAGAAAAGTTAACTGTTCCCTATGGTCAGAAGAATGGATTTTTACATCCATTAGAAAGGCTTGCTCAGATTTGGCAGAGATTTACAGGATTTCACCCTGACTTTCTTTAATCCAAACAGATCTTCAAGATCAATGCAAAACACAGAATTAGTCCATATTGGTTAAAGGAGTCAATCTTATTCACTCAACATATGCCAATTTTCATTTGGCCAATGGGATGGTGAACATTAATTGACACACATGTGATCATTCATTTATTCCTTCATGATACAGTGAGTGTTGAAATGATTCCATTTCTCCTTTACTGGTCAATTGTGATTATGGTTATTATTACCTCATGACTACTATTTTGATTATTAGGTGATCAAATGTCTCACTTATACCCTGATAGGATATGTAATGCTCTGCTCAGCCCTGCCAGACTCCTGTCTCATGAGGCAGAGATCCTCCTAAAGCCATCAAATGCCAAGATGCCTGGAATTTCTTCTGCACACAGGTTCTCAGAGCAAAGACAGTTAGTGGATTTGGTGGAGGGTGGGGACGATGGTCAAATTACTTCAAAGGGGATGAAAGAGGAAAACTGTAGAGAGTCCTGGATTATGCACCCATGACTTGACATTCACTAGCTACTCTGTGCTCTCGACCACACAGGGGCACAATGGCACTTCACATTGCCATCCCACTGGATGACAGGAGAGGTGGGGAAAACTCCCCCCTCAAATGATTTTACTGCAGATCCTGAGGCCTAGAATTCCATGGTGGAATGGAGCCAGGAGGTCATGAGAGCCACTCACGGAAGTTGAGACTTCCCTCTTTAAATATCCTCTTCTAAAATGCCAAGTGCCTCTTAAGGGCTCACACAACACACGGCAATCAGGCGTCAGCACCTTAGAAGGACAGACGTTACAAGGCCCCATCGTGGTTTGAAGGCCCTCTCAGTTACCACTCCATCCGGGGTGGGTCTACCTTAGCTTCAGGTTCACCCTGCTCTGACTTAGGAGCAGAAAATCTACATGGGAAGCCAAGATAAGATTCTAATTTTGCTGCCAGTGCTCTATCCATCCGTCTTACCAAGGCATCTCAAGCTACAGGTCCCACACGGCAGTGTAGAGACATTTTTAATTGGAATGCCTTTAGTCAGGACACACTTGGCAATTCCTCAGGCTCCATCTCTCCCTGCTGCCTATCACCCTACGTTCACGTTCCCTGCCTGATCTCTGAGGGCAGCTAAGGGGAGCCCCACTAGCTCCCCTGTGCCACTTGATTTCTCAGAGTCTAAACTCAGCCATAAACTACCATTGATTTGCTCTTCCTCACTAGGTTTCAGGGTACTCTGAGGGTAGGGCTAGATGGGCATGCCACACAGTCAGTTGCTCATGGCACTCCCTCAGCGGCAGTAAAATATCACCAGAAATGGAACGAAGTGTAGACGGTCCTATGCACTAGAGAGACGTCTCACTGTCTGTCCCAGGGAGAGTCCCGTGTAGTTGATGCACCATTTGAGCTGGGAGATCAGAGGAGGCAAAACTTTCAAAGTATGTTGGCAATCCTGCCAATACGGATGAGGCCTGCCCATGTGCAAGGCTGTTGTTCTGCTGAAGGGGTGTTAGAGGTGTAGCCCCACTAACACCGGCTGGGAAGGGAACGACCACCAATCAACCTGGGCAGCCAGGTTATTCCTGCCATGGCTGGCATAACTGGCCAAGTTCGCTGTGACAGATGCCTCTCCTCCTACCATGTACATTTCCAGGACATGAGCAGGAAAAAACATTTTTTATTGAAATATAGTGGACATACAATGATAGTGTCAGGCGTACGACACAGTGATCCGACAATTCTATACTGTACGCTCCGCCCAGCCCAGTAAGGGTAGTTACCATCTGTCACCGTACAACGTTAGTACAAGGTTACGGACTCTACTCCCTGTGCTATACTTTTTATCTCCGAGAAGTATTTTTAACATGGGGTTTCACTAAATGCCCAGTGTACAAACAGACCACAGTGGGCCATGTGCAGTAGGAGCTTCTGGAAGCAGAGTCCCAGCCCCCGGGGCTCTGCTTCTGCAGCCTCAGTGTCACCGACCTGCCCAAACCAGGGTTCACATGGACCCATCAGGATCCCTTCCCCCCTACCTGCTCTCTGGCCAGAGATTCCCTGAGGAAGGGTCTGCATCAAATGGCCCAAATGATGCACTATCTCTCCCTTTCCTTTTTATCTGTAAAAGATTCTTCAAGAGGCATGCACACAGTTTAGAAGTTGAAAAGTTTGAAAAGGGGTGTGAGCTTGGAATTCTGTGACCTCAACCATGCGATCCTGGAAGGTAAGTGACAGCTGCCTCTGGGAAGTTCCAGAAGGCTCCCAGTTTAAACACAGATTTCACCCCTCAGTGGCCAAGAATCACTTGGCCACCCCCTTAAGAACTGTCAACAAATACTTCAATAACATAAAAAGGATGCCGGACAAGGACAGGGTCCAGGATCAGCCTGACCGCCACTGGAGCTCTTGCTTATTTTGATTTCTAGGGACTACAAATTACTTTGCTTTGATTGGTGACAGCTCACATTTACTGAGTCTTTTCTACCTGCCAAGTGCTGTTCTAAGCACCGTGCAGGTAATAGTTCATTTGCAATCACCTTTTAACAACTATGAGGTTGGTACTGTTTTTATCCTCAGTTTATATCTGAGGGAACTGAGGCAAGGATATCTGCCCAAGGTTATTCCCCTAGGGCCACTGAAACCCAGCCGGCCCAACTCCAAAGCCTCTGGCCTTAACCACTACACTAATGCCCTTCCCGAACCTGCCTGGCCAGGGGCACCTGCTGGCCGCCATGCTCTCAATATGAGTTCTTAGTCAGTCTCCACCCCCCACCTACCCCGTCACACTGATGCTCTCAGACCAGGTGAGAGCAACATCTTCCCTGGGGGTTAAGCCCCTTTGCCCTGCCCCAGAGGGGCTCTCTGTGCCCAGTAGGCCACATGCCTCTGCTAGAAAACCCATTCTAGAGAGCCTGAGCTAATACACAACCCACCAAGGAATAAAAAGAGGGTACCCAGAATCAGAGCTTGCACAGTGTCAACAAGAGCCCCTAATTTTTTATGTTTCATTTATTTAGGCTCCATTTAGAATTTAATTAGATGAAAAGTTTCCATTCATAAAAATGATAATACCTAAAGGCAAGACCGAAATCCAGAATTTCTATATAAAATATTCCAAATTTTAACTGTTGACAGCTAAGTTGAAAATTTTCAAACCTGTGCAGGTCTAACAAAACATTTCATGGGGGCAGAGCAAGATGGAGGAGGAGTAGGAGACCTGGATTTCGTCTGGTCTCAGGAATTCAGCTGAATAGGGATCAAACCATTCTGAACACCTACGAACTCAACAGGAGATCGAAGAAAAGAATAGCAACAACACTCTGAATAGAAAAGCGACCACTTTCTGGAAGGTAGGACATACGGAGAAGTGAATCCGAGGCGATATTCGGGAGGATA